AAAATGAGGGCGTTGTATGCACTAGAAGACCTAGAATCACTTTTTAAATTTCCTATACATTTGTCTGTAAGAAAGGCCCGGGAAAATTACAGACAAATATATGGAAAATTTAAAGCAAGCCTCTGGAGAAATTAAAGCTCGGGTACGCACCCCCGCCCCCCAAAAAATTTTTTTAGGACAATTCTTTGCTTTGTAGCTTTAGTTTACAACTGATATTTTTTTCAGAACAGCCGTTTTACGGAAATTATTCGACATTAGATTCTCATACAAACTACTCGTCAAGATGGCGTCGAAAACCGCGACAAGGTCTATAATTATAATAACAGAAACTAACCACTATCAATCACACCAAATAAGCATCTTAAATTAAACCAGATTTTAAAAAAAAAGTCGAACGGTGACGGAAAACTAGACCAACAGTGGCTTTTACAGCGAAATTCGTTACGCGCTGCGCGTTTTGTAAACTTCGGAGGATTTTCGTGTTTTTGTTTTCCATCAATCATCTTAGGAAACACATGTTTTATTGTGATTGGTGCATTTCGATTCACTTTGTTTGTTTTTGTGTTTCAAGGTTCTTTGCTTGTGATCGACTTTTTCGGGCAATAATCGACCAGGTTTCTTCGAAGATTTTTGTTATCTTTCTTATTATTGTCTCTTGCAAGTGAATAAAGCAATGTCTGCCTCTCATTATCGCGATTTCCTTCGCTATTCTTGAGCAGTCTAGAGTCATCCTCAGGAGATGTTTTCGCGGACCAAGCTGGGCGAGTGCGTTGCATTGTGATTTGCATTAAACCTGCCCGCTCTCAAATGATTGACGGAACAGAAAGCCCATTCGAAGTTTGCAAACGCGCAGTGAGATACAACGAGTTTGGCTGTAAACAGGATTATATAATTTGAATAGGCAGTAAACACGTTACGTAATTGCACTAAATTTGCAATCGATTAATGTGCAGTAAGCAGCTTTTATGAAGAAAACAAACCTAAGAGGTTTAACTAAACAGCTTTACACATGAAGTTTAAGGTTTGACACCAATGGAGCCTTAGTATCTGATCGATGTCACAAATAGCGCAGCTTTTTTTATGACGTTAAGTTGGTTAATTCTTTCTTACGTAAAGAGAAAACTGTCATCCCGTACAACGTCGAATTTTTTCAGCCTTTCTTTTCGCAATTGCAAAAGTTGTGGTTTCGTCTATAGGAACTGTGATGATCTTCTTTACAATAAATCCTCTATACCGCAGTTCTTATACTATACATTGTTTTATCTTCATCCATCAAGGGTTTATAAAGAACCAACTATTGGCGCAAACAAGAATATATGGAATAAATTCCAACCGCAAGCTTGTTTTTGCTTTCATTGTATGGTAAACTTAAAAAATTTTGAGGACATTAATTTCAAAGGTGAATGAAGATTTTTCTTCTTCAAGAATTTGGGATTTAAAACGAAAGCATCCTAAGTGATCAGCCTCGCCTCAGTTGGCTTAGCTCATCGCGATTTAAGAGCGCCGCACCGGTAGTAGTCGTCAAGGGATGGAATCCCGATGCAAGCCTGAATTTTTTTCAGGCCTTTATTTAAATCGCAACTGCAAGAGTTGTATCTATAATTGGAAGCTGCATTGATGTTCTTTTTATTCAAACCGGACTTCATTACAACATCTAAAGAAAGTGAAACCCTAGGCTTAATTTCACAAGACCAAAGCATCCTCTTCTCCTCGAATGTGCTAAGGAGTTAACCGTCGATAGTTGTCTTAAAATTTTGGTCAAGAGCTCTGACTTGTTTCAATTGAAAGAAGAAAAACGTCAGGGCAAAAACACTTTTGACTTTTGTGACTCACACAATGATCTATAGCAGAAATAAAGAAATAGGCTAAAACCTACTTTAAATTATTAATTATGGTTAATGAAACTCTCCGTTATTTTGTCAGGTACTGTGATCTCAGCGTCATGACCGACCCGCTTTCAACGTCTAAAGGCCTAAAAGCCCGTGTCGAGAAGATCCACCCTAAAAGATTTCAGTCAAAATCCTTGCTGTCCCTTTACCATTAATCACTGTTTCCAAAGTTTCCCAATTCTTTGCTGAACTATAGATCTTAAGTGGGTGACTGTTTATCTTTTCAAAGACTACAATATTCCTTCGTGGATGATGGAGCAAGATAGATTTTTAATAATATATGATAGCTTTTTATGTACATGTAAATTAAATAGAGGGTGAAATGAAAGTTCACTTTTTAACTTCCGTAGCCGTAACATACTTAAAGGCGACCGGTGGTGAGCCTAGAGCAAGAGTCACTGTCTTTCCTCTTGTCGGTATATTTTTTCACTCTAGTTACAGGAGTTTCTGAATGGCTACCCAAGATTCGAATTGAGAGACAAATTACTCCTATCGTATGAATATTTAGAAATAAGCAATGATTTATTTTATTTCATTTTATTTTAAGTTATTCTAATTCATTAACGAATCAAGAATTTGATATAGTGATGACACTGCAATCAACCTGTGCAAGGAAGTCGAGCTTAAGGCTGAAATCAAATTGACAGGTATATTCTATTTTTGCTCCGATTTGTCTCGAGATGTATGATTTTTTCATTGATAAGCCGGTCACCTCGCCTAACTGTTTTTAAGATAAGATATAATAGTAAATTTCTCTTGTGGATCGATATCCATGAGCGCATCAGTCTACCTGAGCTGACCCTATCTGACTATTTTATACTGTCGAGTGACCTTGATCAGTAACCATCGATGTGCGCTGACTTAACAGACTTTGTTTTCATTTCGAGTTCACCCTTGGTTAAGTCTAGAGAGAAAACCTGAAACCTTAATTTTAGCAGGTAACAGGCCCACTCGGGGCCCCCCTACTTCCTACGGCCATGAGCTAGTGCAGGGAGTTTAAAATAGCTTATATTTGGTCGACAAAGAAACGACTGGAACAGATATCAGACCTTAAAAGACCTTTTGCGATCACGTAAACTAGCTACAGCACTTTTGCTTATGTATTTCTGGAGCGTTTAATGGACTAAACGAACAAAGGAGAAACGTGTTGAATGCATATATCTGTGTGAACCAATCTTTTTTCTTTCTTTTTAACGACTCACTGTATGGCTAAGATTTGGAAGGACCTTTCTCTCCCTTTACTCCACCAATATATAAACCACTCAGGACCTGTTAACGTTTTTTAAGAAAAGCACATTGGACAATGCAAAGCTGTGAAATTCAAATCAGCTTTACCCTTATGATCACATAACAGGTACCGCTCGCCGCCTTATTAGCCTCTACAAGTAGCGAGCTTATGAAGAAATAAGGAGATATCTGCCAAAGCTTTTCTGTTCGGACATTGAATTGATCATATGTAATAACTAAAGAATGTTACTGAAAAACTTCCTTGAGATGATTGGGCCTAGTATTCTTATTATAACTTAATAACTTTCAGTTATTAAAAACACCGCTATATTTAACAATTATTCGCCGAAGGCGAAGTTAATATTGTTGAATAATGCATCAGTCAATTCCACCGGCGCCCAGGCCCCCCCGGGCTACTGCAGGGCATTTACAAGCCTTGTAATTCGTGGTGGGACATTTTCAAATTTGGGGCATTTGCAAATTTTGCACTGCCCGGGGGCCGGGCATTCGCCAACCCCGGGGCTTGAAGTCTTAGTTAGAATCCTAGCGCTATTACAAAAGAAGACGTTAATTGGAACAAAAAGTCGCACATTAAAATGCTTAAAATGGCACTATTCGACTGTGCGATCAATGAAAAATGTTGCAGCGTTGACGGAGGACGGGGCATTTGCCCCCTTTTTTCGTCTTTACTCCGGGGGATTTGACAGCTCAATAGTCCCCACCACCGGGAATTTGCCATCTAAGGCAAAAAAATTGCTAATGCCCGGGGGTCAGCCCGGGGGTTGTTGGGCGCAGGTGGAATTGACTGGTGCATTAATCCCCGAGACGAAGTCGACGGGATTATTCAACAATATTAACTGAGCCTGAGGTGAATAATTGTTTTAGTATATTTATACGAAGTGATCTCAACAGAATCAGAAAGGAAACCATTAAAAAACGACTAGTTTGATTGACGGGTGAATTCATGCGTGAACACAAGGCCGTAAACAGTGGATGCGCAAAAGTTAGATCTTTACAGTATCTTCAAACATGGCAAATGATAGTTTTAATCTTTTTGTATCGAGATTTGTAAGCTTTAGCATCAACGGTTTAAAAGAAAGCCCCGAAAATTTATATTACTACCCAGTTCTGAGAAGAAAAGTAGAGCTTTATTTGTTTCTGTCAACTCACCGTGAATGAGGAAGTTTTCTTTGTCGCTTCTTGCAAATGCTGTCAACAGCGACTACGATCAAGGTGAGCGTTGTTTATCTCCAATGTTCTTTGCCTTGTTAACTTGCTGGCACGTACAATGTTCGAAAATATTTGCCTTCCTCTTTTCTCCATAAATTAACTTCTAATTGTAGGCAAAATTGGTCTTGCGAGAAAATCCCGAAATCACAAAAAAGTGACATAACGACCTCGTTTTCCTCTGCAGTGGTAAACATAGCATCGAGCGTACAAAAAGTCAGCTACAGTAAACTGCTTCGCAGCAAATCACGCTGTTTAAACACGTCGAAGTCTTTTCTTGCCTTGAAAGTCATCAACACTTGGATATTCGTGTATTTTCAAAAAGGCTTTTCTATGAAACTTTGGCAAAACACCCATTTCACGACAGCGATTTTGTTCTGCTTTATAATCACCGCCTAGCGCGGTGAATATAACGTCATAGTCCGAGATAGCTAACCAATCAGATTGCTTGAATTACCAAGATCACTGAGTGTGTATATACTAAACCCCAATATTAGGTAATTCGGGCTAAGGTCATATTATTTAGTTGTTTTTTTTTTTCTCGATGGGGGTCGTAAGCGCGTCGGACAATGCCAACATATTTTGAATATTTCACGTATCTAAATCAATAGAATGAGCCAACTTATAGATATTGTAATCTGAGACAAACAGTTAAAAGCAAAAAGTTGTTTAGAAATCCCCAGAAATCACTGGTTACCAGTTCAAAGCGCTACTACTTCAGGGAGGTTAATTTGCCAACTCCTTTACTTTGTGAACATGGTGACAGAAAGTATGATAACGTTTCTGCTCATTGTTGCATCGATCGAAGCTCGGTATGTATATATCATTTTTTCATAAATTTTTTAGATTGTGACTGTAGCTGACTAGTAACTAGTCTTTTTTTGTAATTTTTCATGTCCTTTCATGATTTTATAACGGTTTAACGAAAACACTACGGAGTTCTGTAGGAGAAAGAACAAAGGATAGTCAACTTGTTCACGCTAACCTTCTACTGGGTTGTCTCTTCTTTCAGTTTACTGGATACATTACAATGTCAGGTGTATATGTTTCTGGCGCTTGCCTGCTCGATCTCAATTCTAACCATTTCTATGTAAACCTACTAAAGCGGGTAATTAGATAACAAATATCAGTATAGTATTTTATATTAGTCCATTCGCCTTTCAAGATATTGAGGTAAAGGCAATCGCTGAAAGTGTTTGTTTCGAATTAACAGAATAACACTCATTATTTTTTTCTAGTCATTAACAAACCGTAAATCAGCTTACTTAAGGAAAGGAAAAGGTTTATGTTTCAGTTTCCAAAAGCCACTCATCATCATTCTCCCATAAATAGGTTCTAAATTTTTATAACAATCGACCGTGACATAAAAGATAAATACAAATTGTAAGCATTTACAATGAAAAAGATAGATGCATTAGAAAAAACTCTTTTTATTTTAAAATTTGTAAAGCTTTTAGCGTAGTATTATTAAAAGCCAGATGCCAGCTATTGATCAGAAAAATTCTAGAATTTGAGTGTAGTTAAAGAAATAGCTTAGAATTAGTCGAAAGTTTCACTCTTACATTGTCATCCTTATCTTTTTACCGGAAAAGTATTCGGACAATAACTAAATCGCAGAATTAGATCTTAGTGACAAAATGCAGTGAAAACACGACCTCTGAAAATCGAGATTTATATGGAAATTTCTAGGTAATATTTGCTCAGTGGAACAGAATAAAAAAGTCGAAGGGTGCTCTTGCATGATCGCCGATATCACCGAATTTCAGATAAAAAACCACCAGGGGAGAAAGTGTCAAATACCAGTCCGGCCGACGAGAAAAGTACAGTGAGCCACGCCCCACGACACTCCCATTTATACGACCACCACTGTACTACAAGCACATTATGTGGATCAAAATTAAAACACTCAGTCACTCTCTTTTTAGACTTTCAAAAAAGTCCTCAGTCCGATTTAATATGCAGCGGGACCTCAAGGTCACGTGACAAATGTGTGAGCAATCGGCTGACATACCAGTCGTTGGGCCAGCGCGGTCCCATGGCTGACTGTGTCCCTTTAAGCTCGAGGGCATCTTAACACAGAATCTTTGGACTTCATAGGTACCTTTTGTGCCAGTTTGACGATAGTAGGGGAATTAAACATTTCCTGGCTGAATTAAATATCAAATTTGTCAACTTTTTCTTCCTTTTGTATTCACGAACACAGACAAATTCAAGTTCCCCGAAACTTGGGTGACGTCTGTCAAAACATATGGAATGCAGCCGGTAATAACATGGTCGTGGGGACGGACATGACAGTGAACACATCATCTACAGCTACAAACTTGTTTACTGTAACTTCGACCGGCCAAACCAAACTCCAGCAGCCAGTATACACTAGTTTCAAGGGTAAAAGCTACAGTATTCTCTTCTACTCTATGTAATTTTATTAACAGAGAATTAATCCCGAATCAAGTATTTACTAGTCCTCGAATTAATTTGAGTAATTCTGTTAGCATCCCATCCGAGAATAGCTTAAGCCGAGGTAATAAAAAAAAAAAACACGAATAAGGAGCAAACAAACAACACAGCAGCAGGGGCAACAATTAAAAAAAAATTAACAACAACAGAAAACAATTTTGCAAAATGCTTAAGGTGCCTAAACAAGGGAGGGAGTTCTGAAGATAAAATCAACGTGTCTTGAATGTAGGTTAGGTTTTATCAGTGAAGGTTACTTAGGGAACTTCCCAGTATCATGAAATCATTAAAATGTGTAACACTGGGTTCTTCTGAGCACACCCTTATCTATGATGTGGATAGCTTTCAAGTACAGCTGGCTTAATCTCAACTCCTCCATGCACTTACTCCATGAATTCATTATACCGAACACGTTCCACAAGAATCTCCGGTCCTTACTTGACGATTGGCTGGAGAAAAATTTCTTGGCGAGAATTGTTGTCCAGCGGCTCTCCTTCAGATGGGTTAACCGGAAATTCCGTTTGAAAAATTAAATACCAATACACCATCTATTTTCAGTAGGTCAAGCCTCTGGAAAAATAAGGCAAGGCGATGTAACCTTAGCTTTCTACTCTTCTTCGGGTTTCCATTTGATTTGTATATACTGCGTAGCAAGCTAGTCCTTCTCCCAAAAGGTCAAAAATGCACAAGATTTCCAGCTGGATGAGTATGTTGTATGATATACAGGGTGTCCCAAAAGTTCGTTCCCCTAAATTCATGCACCATAACTTTTAATCAAAACTTCATTTTTACATAAAATTGCTAGAAGATGTTTATTTTTCTATTGAGTACATGTATTCAGAATTTCAGTAACTGGCATGCCCTTTTTGATTTTTGTATCACATTCTGTAGCCGTTACGGCACGAAGTGGGATACAGCGTGTAGACCCACAGATGATCCATTTTGAGCTTTTTTATCACCTGGTGCGCAAGAGCTAGTTCAACCACCCAACCAATATTTGTTTAGTTTAGGCAGCTGGAAAAAATAGATTTTTGGCATTCATCCAAAAAAGATAATATCCCGGCTTCCTTCCACAGCAAGGTTTGGTACTTCTCTTCAACTTGAGACGAACTGGGCGTTACTTGGCAGACTAAGCAGAGGTTTTTTTTATTTGCCATCTCAGGGGTCTCTAATTTTAAACATTTGAAACAGCTTTTCGTGACCCTTTCTGGACTTGGCTTGCTAACTATCTGAGAGCTTTCTCGTCGAGTCTCCTTTTTTGTAACTAGCTTTTCTTTAAAACTATTTAGCTGCTTTATTCAGGAGTTTTGGTCTTAACTTCCCCGTCATTTCTTGCCTTCAAAACCTTCATTCCTTCACGATCATTTTATCACCTAACATTCGGTATTTTTCCAGTTTTTTAGCAGTTTCTACGACAGATAAGCCAGTAAATCGAAATATACATGCTCATCTCCCGAAAATAGCTAAACGTTTTTGCGTTAAGGGGATTTATCTTTCGTGATATTTACAAAAAACAAGGAAGGAGTTCGAGCAATTCAAGGATAAAATGCAAAAAAATATGTGGCTGGAAAATACACTCGCGCACGAACACCTTTGGCGCGGAATTACACAAATCGAATATTCGAATCAAAAAATAGCACAACAAGTATGAAAATGGTGAATTAGACTGAAAGACAAATTTGTTTTCAATGATTTGCTTACCAAGTCCAATCGTACTGAAATACAGACTTATAAAGTAGAGGAACGAACTTTTGGGACTCCCGTGTATATATCAAGTAGCCTGCGTAGCAAGCGTTTCCAGTCGAGTTGTTAGAGCGGGAGCAAAAAAAAAAAATGGAAGTGGGAGGGGGAGGGGAGAAGAGGAAACGCTTGCCCGCAAACCCCACGATTCTGGAAAAGGCCCCTTGATATTTCACGGCTCGGTTGATTTGTAAATTGACAGCTCGTCAAGATAGATAACGAATAGATTCCCAGATTTGAAAAAATTACTTTGTTCCCTAAAACACGCTCCACGCGATTGCAAAATTGTAGTAAAAAGAAGCTTTACTATAAAAGAAGGTTGAAACTCTAAGCGATTGCTGCGGAATTTCTTATTCTTTATAGTTGAGTTAAAATTTTAACGTTATGTGGCTTTATCTCATCTGAAACCTTGTCAAAACGTCACAAAGAAATGATTTGTCCGGAGCAATTCACTCCGCCGGCTATGAATTTTGCAGAGCAGCTGCTCTCCATAGGCCAGCCAGTGTTGAAAAGTTCACTACAATACATGCCGCTCAATGTCCAATCACTTGTCCATGGCAGCTCTAGTTAGTGTCTAGTACTCGATGTTCTGATTTACGTTGATGTTATCTCCAACAAACAGTCCATTTTTTCCAGTCAGATACACACCCCGTCATTCGAAATAAATTGGCCTTCACTAGTCTCCACTGCTCGATCTCCAATTGTACTTTTGATCGAAGGGACTCAGATCTGGTAAACCTTCGCACAAACATGATTCAAATAAATATCAGACCAAAGCATTTGTAATCTGCGACCACAAATCAGATCAGACCAGATCTGCAGCATACGTAAACCAAACATACCTGGTTTGATTGATGTATTGATTGCTATTTAATCAACACTACCAGCACCGCACCAATCAAAAACTGCGTTCGTGGGCGAACGCAGTTTTTCAAAATCGTGGGGTTTGCGGGCAAGCGTTTCCTTCGCTCCCTTCCCCCTCCCCCCTCATTCCTTTTTTTTTTACCTTGTCCCAACTTTCTCGACGAACTCGCGCGGAAACGCTTGCTATGCAGGCTATATATCAAGCAACGATTTTGTCCGCAAATATTCCGCTCAGGCTGGCTTTTCCCAGGTACTTCGAGAATCCCTTCTAAAAAAGACAAATTGCTGACACCCATCTAGGACGTAAATTAAAATGTCGTGTTGTTTTAAGGTTCATGAACCACGACTAATCAATATTTTCGTGCCAGGAGAAGATACTTGGCTTGTTTTGCGCCGATAAATCGTATGCAACATGACGATAAACTTTGGGAAGTAGACAGTTACCAACAAGTATGGCAGCTTCTGTCGGAGGGGGACTGCACCACATCATTTCCCAGGGCGTTAAGTGTACGTACATCATATTTGCTTTGTTGGAGCTAACTTAGTTTTAAAATTCTGCTTAAGCCCTTCTAGATAACTACATTTCAGACGAGACAAAGCCGGAAATTCCTGCTTCTCAGAAGTCACAAAAGAAAGACAACTTTATCAACACTATCGCCGTCGAAGGAGGTCCCGTAGATATTGCTTTTAAATATCTAAAGACAAATGGGAAGACTACAGCAACAGTAAGATTTTTTTTGCGGAATTTTTTGTCTTCCTCTTTCTCTGAATTATACGAAGCGTGACGGAAGCGTTGTGCGGAAGCCATCCTCGAGCACCCTTCCATATCACGCACTGACATGGCTTAAGTAACCTCTTCTTCTAACCTTTCTTGAATAGATTTTCACTGTGCACCAGTCCCCCTCAACCCCAGCCACCGCCTTGACTCCTTGATTATTATTGATGCAGCATTTGAAATTGGCCAGCTAAAGCAACAGAGTATTATATAAGCCTGAAACGTTAAAGAGCACGGCACGAACAAAGCAAGGATGGACAAAATAAAAAAAAAATGTAAAACAGGTTGCAGAACTGTTTAGCCGTCCGTTAGACCCTGTTAGTACATATATTGTTAGTACATAAATGTCTGTTATCTTAAACTTTGGATCACAGCATATTAATCCTTTTCTGTCTTGTAGATGTGGTATTAGAAATAGTTTCTTTCATAAGTTTAGCATGCTGGCTAACGTAACAAAATTGATTCAGCCGAAACTGTCCCGTCACAGCTGTTGAAGGTTGAACTAACATAATTTTCAGGTTGCTTGTCTTTAGACTACATGTTTCACTGATTTTAATTCTTGACTGTTAGTGGTGTCGTGTTTTCTGAAAACTCCAATAGGACCTAAACGCATTCAAGGCAGCATTGAAGACGATGTGGTTTGCTAAAAACGCTAAAGGAGAATTAGGAGTACCGCATTGTTCTGGATTTAAGCATACATTTGTTGGTAAGCACATTGCCGAATAAAGAATCGGTTTTAAGGCCACCGAAATGTAATCTTCCCCCTCCACATCCAGTCTCATAAACCACACAAAATCCTTTATGAATTTTTATAAACCCAGGGCATATATTAAGACCTACATGTTTCGCACTTTTGTAAACTGTTAGTCTTAATCATTGATTATACAAGACCTCGATGTACAATTCGTTATAGCCTGTGCTAGCCTCTCGGTCAGTGCATACGAGCGAAAAATAACGGGAAGAGAGAAGGGGAGAGCCTGCAAGCGTCTTCAAAAATACCACAGTCTGCCCAGTTTCAGAAAAACCGTTTCTCGTATCAAAATGATAAATGTTAAAATGTCAAAATGTGCGTGTAGGAGGGTTTCGCACGCTCGCTAGATATGCTTTTTCTTTGTCTCTGCGTGAGCGAAGCTAAGCGATTGATGTCGTTGACATAAACTGTCAAAATTGACCAACCACGGGGTATTCTAGGCGCTGATGATATTCCGGAATGAGGTATTGAAAACAAAGCGAATAGAGACAAATACAAACTTTTAACCATTTTTGGTCTGTACCTTTTCCTGACGTCAAGTTTTGTGGAACTATGGTATGGCAAGTGAAGATAACAGGTTTTGGTCTAATTTCGCGCCAAATAGACTGCGCCTCAAGACGAAGTAATTATAAGAATACGTCAAGACGGTCTGCGAACCAGAAATTCGGCTATTTCGCATTCGGATAGCCATGAACTCTTCATAGAAACGAGGTTGCTATTTTATATGTTCCTTCGAATAGGTTGGTTATAGGCCAGTTGCACCAAGAGGTCACGTGACCAATGCTTCCTTTAAACGATGAGTTGGAATCTTGCTGATGCCAAAAATTGACAGAGCACATAAAAATTATCTTACACCCGAAATTTGAGAGGAAACGCATTTAAGGGAGATATTTTATGGCACTTTGATTTTTCAACAAAGTAGTATTATTTGTATTGGCCGCCATGCATGTTGGAGGGCATACTCTTGCCCTCCAACATGGCGGCCAAAACTACTTTTTGCTTATATCTTGTTAAACGTTTGATAGTTACTCTCAGATGTGCTGTAAACGCTACCACATTATCTTTTCAACATTTCGCTTGAACTTTAAGTGCAAAATGTGTGTTCAGAAAGAGGTAATTCATAATTTTAAAATCACATTTTGGTCACGTGACCAGTTACGAACTTACTCATTTTAAGGAAATGGTGCGGGTTTGAAAAACCAAATCACTATTATTTTGTTTAAGATCGTTTTTTGAAGGCAAAATTATGTAACTTTCATGTTCATAAAAAACGATGTCACATGACCTCTTAGTGCAAATGGCCTATTGCCTTTTCAAATTTGGTAAGCGCCACGTGGTTGTGGAGAATTTAGCCGGGGGATTTGAGCCAGTCAGTAAAGGTGAAATGTTTTGGGTTATAAGTCCTGTGTTACGTCCAACTATTGAAAGGAGACGTTCGGTTGGCCAGAGATCTTTTAAATTACATACACACAAGAAAAAGGAAATAAAAGAAAAGACCAACATCATCACGTTAACAAATCTAAAACGTTTACCAATGCGGTCACAAGGGATAATTAAGTAATGCTTTGTTTAAAATCCTGGACTGCCACAGTGTCTGTTACGTTAAATGAGGACGTTCTTGCATAAATTACTTCATCAGGTGAACTGGTCGTCGACAAAGAAGGGACAACGGTAGTAAAAGGTCTTCACAACTGGTACCAGTTTCTTCTTGAACACACGGCAGGTAGATTGGCTTACTCTCCACCCCCAATGAATGTTGTGGATACGACTAAAAAGGTAAGGGTTTAATCCAAAAAGATTAGGATAGTATCCTAACTCGGTCAATGAAGAGACGCTTCCCTAAAACATTTTATCCTTCACTAGAACTTAGGACTGTTTTTGGCGAGTCAATGTCTCTCTCGAGATCTCCCTCACGTTACAAGGCCTCATGATCAGTCAGGGGAGTTTCCGGAAGAGACAATTCGCACATTCAGGATAGGTGAAACTTTCTCTGATTTGTAGAAGTAAAACATGATACGTTTTTTGCGTCAAATGGAAAATCGGAAAAAATCCGAGCCCCAGATGGGATTTGAAACCACGACCCTCCGTATTCTAGTCAGATGCTCTAACCACTGAGCTACTGGAGACTCAAGGGCGTGAAAGGGTGAAAGTGGGTCTTTACTAGAACTGCATCACGCAGTTACATAGTCCAACCAGGACAAGCTCGTATGACATGAATAGCTGCATCACGCAGTCAACGGTATATCGTAGATGCAACCATCCAACCACCAAGTGAGCCTTTTTTTTTGTAGAAGTAGAATATGATATGTTTTTTAGCGGAGCTCTCGCGCGCAGCGGAACACCATTGGTAAGAAAATTTGGTAATCTATGCATCCAAGAAATTTTGGTTCAGGGAAGAAAAAACAATATTGTGTTATCAAAAAACAATACAAGTTGTTCTGAATCAGCTTTGCAGTAGTCTTTGGACTTCTCGTTCTTGGTACGGAGTACGTCCGTACGTACGTCCACCCCTTCATGTTAGCGGAAGCAAAATGGCACACTTAATACTATCTGTTGAAAACTTGGTATTGGACATCCCTGTTATAGTCAGTTGACAGCTGTCAAAAAGGGTATCCGCTGACCAGTGTCATATGGTTGCATCGTGGGCTCAGGTATACAAGTCATGGAGGCGACGTAATTTTTGAAAGCTACCAGTTTTTCGTTTTCGATTGATCGCGGGCTCAGGTCGATTTTTTAAAGATAAAATTCAGTTTGCTCACTGCTTACGGTAAAAGGTGAATTAATTGAGGAATACATTTTTTAAAGCATCCCTCGAGAGCTTCGCTTTTGGCCTTGGCTAAATCTGTATATTACATCAAATGGAAACTTGGAAAAAATCCGAGCCCCAGATGGGATTTGAACCCACGACCCTGCGTGCCAGTCAGATGCTCTAACCACTGAACTTCTGGAGACTCAATGGCGAGAGAGGGTAAATGTGGGTCTTTGGCTAGAACTGCATCACGCGATCGGGCCGGTGGCTTATTACATTTTGCCTGATTTTGCCCCATATTAGGTAATCCGAATCCCGGAATCCGGGAAAATTTTCCCTATGGATTCCGGAATCCTAGGCTTTGAAATCCAGAAATCAGTTGTAGAAATCCAGCTTCCTGCTAAGGATTGGAATCCAGAATCCAATTTTCAATGACAAGTGATCCAGAACCCATAATGGGGAGGCCAGAAGCAAAGACAATCTTGGAAAAAATTCCTTCATGGTCTTTCACGGGGCGATATATCATTAGCGTAATTATTGTGCGCTTGTATTATCTTAAAGTGATATCACCGTTGTTTGTTTGCAGCCACCCTTTATAAAGGTCAGGTTTACTTGGAAAGGAGCTAGCAAGCCAAAGGGTAGCAGCTTTTACGTGGGTACAAGCCCTGCATTTGAAGTGGCGCTTTACACAGCATGTTTCTTTGGTGAGCCAGGTTACTGCACCTGCAATGTGGACGGAAAGCAGCTTATGATAAAGACTATCAAATGTCAAAATACTGCAATGGTGCGCACCTCTTATCCTGTAGCATAAGTCCCTCAGAATGAATTATTATTACCGTGATGTAGAACAAAGAGAAATTTGATTCATCTACGTAATCCCGTATGTAAGCAAACTAAAAGAAGAAGCAATAAAGTGCAACTAAACTTAACCAAACTCTGCTTACATTTTTCTGTTGAGTATTCCCTTTTTGTTTCCCTTTTTTAGTTTCAGGATTTTTTCTTCTAAGAGATGGATAAATGCGGACTTTTCCAACTGAAAGCACATCTATTTGAAGAGAAAGGCTGTTTAAGGAGCAATTGTACAGTAATATTCCTAACGCGTTTTGTGTAAACTACGCTCTTGAATTCTATGATTGTAAACACTTGCTATGACATAATGGAGAATGACCATTGAACATCATAGAACTGAAAGATCGAAAAATAAAAGTTTATTCTTCAAGGCCTGTTAATCAGAAAACCGTGATAAATTTGTGGTGAATTTTTTCGATGTAATCCTGTCAAACATAAACGTTTGCAAGATCCAACCCAATTCGCACCCGGCCGGGTCAGACACCCTTGTTTTTTTTAAGAGCATCTTACTAATAATTCATATCAATAAATTAATATATTATTAACATTCCATTTCATACGAATCTGCATCGATAACAGACACTGGCGGGTTGAAAAGTATTATTTAATCCTGATGACACTGCTTGTACGGCGTATCCCATCTGTGGAACCGGAAGTAAACTTGCTGGGTAGTACCCATCTCTTCCGGCTTTCTATCACCCTCTCCCTCAGACACTCCTCACCTGACCGAGATACATGGAGAGTCCCAGTATAACAACTCAATACCCTGGGTTAATCCAGAACACGCATAATAAAACGTTTTTAAGCTGAGTAAGCAGTTTTGTTCCTTGACCTGATATAAAAAATCGGAAAACATTCCAAGTGCCCGCAAGTTTTTGCCGCCCTGTCAGCGTCCATTCGCAAGAGACAAATGTTTTATGCATTTTCACCTCTGTTTATTTTCCTTCGCGTGTTGAGCGAACCGCTTGAATCTGCAGTCGCATCTCGTCTTTTTTGCCCATTTTACGTGGAAAAACATGCTATTAACTCGTCTTCGAAGAGCAACTCCTTTTGTGTTGACTGGTTTGATAGGATCGACAGCACTGTATGGATATAAAACAAGATTCTTGGAACAAGGTAGAAAGCGGGAGCTTCTTTATTTTGGCATATTTTGTATGTCTCGCAGTTAACATATTTTCCCCTCAGTATTAAATCCATAGATGCCAAAAGAGCCCAAAAGATGCCAACTTTACCACATTTTTGCATAAAAGTGAGCCATTCCAATTATCGCGATACAATTTAAGTGCTTTTAATTTGCATTTAATAATATTGAATCGAATTATTCACGCGTGCAGAAACAAAGATTAGGGGCAAATGTAAGCTCTTAAGTTTTACTCTTCTTTTGAAATTCAGTAGTAAAAAGTTTCCTTTTTTAGGCCTCAATTGTTAGGGACGAAATTTATGAACTGTGGAGCAGAGATTCAAGACTTGTTGTCGAGGCCGTCAAATAGTCTTCCGTGACCTACCGGCACCGGTTAGCTAACACCTTGTTTACATGCACCGGGCTGTCACGCGCAACGTTGCTTTTGTTCCACGGCCCTCTGGATCACTTCCACAACTTAAGACATAACGCTCATCAACAGGATCGTTAAAGCACGCTATTCGAGGTAACTAAGAAGTAGTTATTTTTATTCTAAACGGCATTTGGAACGGCCACTGTTAATTTGACGGACCCGTGACCACTGTTTCACCGGCCTCGTGGTCGCGTGCTTTTTCAGAACTGCCTGACTCAAAGCTTGCTAATCGATGCTAAGTGTATCTGCACCTACATTGACCTATCCTTTGGCCTACAAACTGTATTCTGTCGTAATCGTGTTTAGGTTTTGTGTTTTCATTTTGCTTCTATCAGCCACCGCGCCTTCTCCAATCAGGTTAAATTTACATATTGGACGTCGACCTGTTCGAAGTTAACAAAATAAACGAGTCCGCTTTTCAGGTCTTTTCAGAAACATGGAGTGATAGTAAATTATCCTCTTCTAGTTCGTCAAATTCCAGTCAATTTGATTTTTCTTAGACACTTTTAAAGAACTAACCCAAATCATTTAAAATTGACATGTTGATTCTGGGCCGAAGATGACATGAAGAGCCAAATGTTAATCAAAATAAATATAATTGAATTACCTTCCCCATCGATAAACCTGACAATAACAAAACGCTACTCGAAGTCAGATTTGCATGTAATGTTCATGGATATTTTATAAAGAAATTTTAAGTTTAATATCAATAATACAATCACAACCACATAGGTTAAATGAATCGTGTAATCACCACTACCGAACTCGATGTTGATCGCTGTGAGATTAAGGAACTCTCATTGGCTCCTGCAATGCTGCAATTGGGGGTTTTACCATAAAGCATCAAAGTGGCTATTTTTTCAGTTGGAAAAATAACAGGAAGATAAACTAAATCGATTTCTACAACTATAATTTCCGCGACGTGGACTGTTGACCTTTCAAGTGAAACCAATTACTTTTGAAATATTAATACAACATACTTAGGTATATAATGAGTGCTATTATGGGTTGGGCCTTAAGCTTTTAAGCACCCATCCGCACTAGGCCCGAATTGTTGAGTAATTTTGCAAAGTTTTTAGTTGGTAAAAGCATGATTACCGACCTAGCTTTTATTTAATTTGTGAGTAACACACGTTTTAAACGTTGAACTTTACTTGCATGTGCGTAATCTAGTGCAAATGAGCACAAACAGTCTTCCTCATTAGCATCAAAATCGGTGCATGTACAGTTCGACGTTAAAAACGAGCCTTAATACAACAGTCACACTGTCTAACTGCATGTCTAACCAAGTGCAGTGAGAGAAGCAGAGGAAAACCCCATTGTTTGGGTTCTTTAAGGTGTGCTTTTCGGATAATAAGTACTACCTTTGACGGTGGACGTTAAGTAAACAAGATGTCGATATCGCATTAGAGCCAAAATCATCACATTTATAGGGAATTCCCGACGTCTAAAACTTTCACTTTCAAAACAAGACTAAGTGCAAAACCTTTCTTGTTATGTGAGAATTTAAAAATCATTTTCAAATCAAAAGCTTCGCACTTAGCCTCGCTTTGAAACCGAGGCATTTGGGCAACTCGGAAATGGCTAGTCCAGTTCTGGCTCCTCCCTTGCCGTGAGAAAGAGGGTCTCCCCCGGCGTTGCGTGACATATAGAGAGGGGCCAGAAATGGCCTGTTAATGTGATGGTTTAAGGAGTAAGTCAGGTTTACTTGTTTTGTGTCATCGTATCTCAAGCCCATCGCCGACGATCGATTATTATTATAAAGGCACTTAGTCACTAGTCACGGCACTCCCACATGATTGTATGACTCTTTTCCTTTTCCTGTAAGGGAATCGATCCGGTTCCCTGAGTCTATCGAATTTTAGCTTCTGGAATACGCAATCCGGGAAATTCCGGAGTACATCTTAAGAAATCTGCAATCCGTCATAGAGTACCGTCATAATCCAGTACCTGAAATCTGGATTCCATGGCACGGAATCCTGAATCCAAGACTGTCTTGGATTCCCTTATATGGGGCGACTCTTTCGTACGTTTTACATTTCAGCTGTTCACGCTAAAGATAAATCTCTGAAAGATTTCAAGGAGACTCGTGTAGTTGTTGTTGGAGGTGGTTATGGAGGGATAGCAGCAGCTAAAAAGCTAAAAGACAACTGCAAGCTGACACTGATCGACGCCAGAGATGCGTTTCACCACAACATGGGCGCACAGAGGTCATCAGTTGAAGCAGGTGCATTAAGTGTTTTTTTTATAGTAATCTAGCATAGTCAGACTTGGTTCACAATAGCGACCTTAGGTTACTCTACAAGTGCGAGTACGATCGTTTAGTTAAATTTGAGCCTCAGATGCTGGCTTGTTTTACCATTCTTACCCCTTAAGTTTCCTTTTTGTACTGGTCAGCAACAGGAAAAAGTACGAGTTCTTAAAGTCAAAAGCGTGGCGGATCTATGTACAGAGGGTTGGAAAGGGGGGTTGTTCGCCATACCCTAAATACATACATCAAAATAGAATGTTATTAGCCTCCAAGAGTCAATGTTTGCATTATTTGTCCGCCGGGCATAAAAAGCGGCCCCTAGAGAGAGGTGGCCGTTGTGGAGAGGTGGCCGTTAGTGGAGGTTCCAATGTATTAGAGGATTATAGCATGATCGCTAGAGAGATGATACTCTTGACTATTCTCTCGTGCATCGCTG